GAGCGGGGGGGGGCGGGGGGGGGGGGCACGGCAGCGCGGGGCTGGCAGAGAAAAAGGCGAGGGTCCATCGAGCCTCTGGCCTTCCGTGAAAACAGCAGGGTGCCCCTCCGGGGATCCTCCGGACTGGCCTCCTGGCCTTGCTCGCCCTCCACCGTGGCATCCGAAGGGGCCTCTGAGACCCCCCTCTCCAGAGGGCAAGAGGGCCTTTGGCCAGGAGCAGGGCCGGGAGGGAGGATGCTCGGACAGACCTCGCCCCTGCCTCCCCCCATGTCTCGGCTCCTCTCCGCTGGCCCCAAACCTCTTTTTGCCATCCCCCCAGGGCGGTTCTGCCCGGCTTCCGCCTTTACGGTTTTTCCATTTTGGAATTTAATTCTTTAGTACTGCAACGCATCTTAAAAAAAACAGCAAAAGCAGCTGATGGGTTGCCCTCCCAGAACAGGCTCAGCCTGGTTACAGAGTTTTTCTGGGTTCATCCAGGACACGACCATTCCCAGGTGGGCTCAGCCTCCCAACAGCTGGGGAAGAACGGAGGGAAGAGCTCGCCAGGCTGGACCAGGCCGGGGCCCTGCCCCGTTGGCTCTAACTGGCCAGGCCCTCGCCAGGCCAGGCAGCGCTCTCTCCCCCTGCACTAGAGGGAGGCCTGACCGTCTGGGTGCAGCCCAGCAGCCTCGGGAAAAGCACCGCCGGTGAAATGCCGCTTCAGGGAAGGGGTGCTGCCTCCCCGCCCGTTGACGTGCAGTAATTAAGGGAAGAGTCATTAAAAAGGGATTCGGGCAACATTTCTGAAGCAACCCAGGATGGCTGTCATTTAAGAAGGATTTTAAGCAAGAGCTGGTTTTGAGACTGACAAGGACAAATAAAGGATTGGGAGCGCAGCCTCTAATTAAAACCCGGGCAGAAAAACTGGCTTGCCCGACCCTGCCAGTTTTGCCCTTCCCGTGCGGTTCCACCCCACCTGCTCCCCTCTCTCGGGGCAGCTTTTCTGCAGGAGGAGATTCTGCAGCCTGGAAGGGAGGGTTTTCAGCGCTACCAAAACCAGCTTTTCTCTGCTGGTCTTCAGCATTTTTCACACCACATTTGGCATCAACCATTTTTATTTTCTGGCTGGCAAACATGGGGACCACCCCCAGGTGCACGAGAATATATCCATTCGTTAACAGATTAAATCTGCATATGCTTATATATAAGGGGGAGAAAAACACAAGGTGATACACCTTCAAAAGGTGGCCTCGTCTCTAGATTTCCGTACTCAGTTCAGAACTGTGAGAGTTTTTTTTAATGGCTACCTGATTAAGACAGGGCCTCCCCTTAGTACAACAAGATGTTTCCAATCTATTAACCTAAAGACTACAACCCTTTAATCCACCCCCCCATCAATACACATTCAAAGACAATATGAAGAACTCTTGCTCGACATTCAGCCCCGGGGGCAGAGGGAACCCGACCCTCGTACCGACCCATACAAGGGCATCGTTTCGCTCTCCCCCCCCCCCC